CTGTTCCATGGGTTGATCGTTGTCAGGAAATTCCTCCTTATTTCCAGGTTGAATCTCTCCTTGGTCAGTTTCCATCCATTCTTCCTTGTCTGCCCTTCAGGTGCTTTGGAGAATAGCTTGACCCCCTTCCTCCTCTCTGTGGCAGCCCCTCAACTATTGGAAGATGCTCTCCTGTCTCCCCTGGTCCTTCTCTTCCCTAAACCAGCCAGGCCCAGTTCCTGCAACTGTTCTTCGTATGTTTGAGCCTCCAGTCCCCTCAACATCCTGGTTGCTCTTCTCTGCACTCTTTCTAGAGTCTCCACATCTTTTTTATAGAGTGGTGACCAAAACTGGATGCAGGACTCTAGGTGTCCCCTTCCTGCTATTTCCCTACTTCTTTGTTCTGGGTTTGTTCTGGTCCCTTCTTTGTTCTGCTCCTAGCACCCCACTCTCCCCCAAACCCACTTTTCCTTACCTCCTCTCCCAGCTGGTCTTAAGCGTGGATTTTATTTTTCTCAATCTAGAGAAAGTATTGTTCACCTACAACTTTATATACCTTCCCCAACCAGTGATAACAATCAACAGAGCCCTTTGGACTCCATTGTGAGATTTCGGAGCGCATCTAGAGGTTGTTCAGTTTAGCCATTCAGAAACACAATGTCATTTAGATTGTTCTTCGGAGCCTCTAATTATACTGGTTTGAGGCTCCGAAGAGATCAGTAAAATATTAAGTCTTGGTGTCAAAGCCAGCACCTTTCATCTGAATGCACTCAAAATGTGTTTGAAACACAATGTGCCCTGTTTTCATCGGAACAGAGTATGCTCCTGATAATGAAAAAGAAGAAAAGGCCCCTGGAAAACATCCTAGACAAATATTTTTGAATTCTGAGTGTGATGATAAGTTCGATAAGAGCTAAAAAAAAACCACAAGGTTACTGGAGGCTTTCAAGAAGAGACTGGATGGCCTTTTGTCCAGAGGGGTACAGAGTCTCTGGCTCCAACAGGGAGTTGGACTAGAAGACCTCCAAGGTCCCTTCCAGCTCAGGTACTGTGTATAAAACACAACATTGCCACTACAAAGAGGACCAGGCATCTAGATGATAAAACATATTATGGATGATATACAGTATTCCAATACTTGAAAGTGACAGGGTTCCAAATAGCATCCAAAGTTAAATCAGAGTCCCAGGCAAAGGATTCCTCAAAGTTCCCATTTATGAAGAGAGCCACATTGGCACATCTGGGAAAACCTGAATCTGAAAGCTTCCCGGTTTTTCCCCACCCAGTTGAAAGTTCACGATTTGCCCCCACACCCACAAGTCCATCCCATGGTCCAATCTTCCCCTGTCATGCTGGCAGCTTCCACCCATCCCGTTCCGGTCAGGTGCAGAGATGCAAAGACAAAGGATGACCTTGGTTTTCTAGAAAGAATGTTGTTATGGCTACATAGCATCTACTTCTGTACAATCCCATTTTCTCACCATAGAAAATGCCTAGCAGAATAATAGAAAGTGTGGCAGGCCAAGAGATCCAAATATGGCTGCAGGCCTGACAGAGGGGCTTCCTCGAAGAAGGGAGGGTGGGGGAACCTTTTATCCAAAGCATCAGAATGCAGGACAATGGATGGAAAACAATCAAGGAGCGAAACAACTTGGAACTAAGGAGGAATTTCCCATTACTGAGAACAATCAAGCAGTTGAAGGCCTTGTCTTTAGAAGTTGTAGGTGCTCCATATTATGACTGACACGCAGTGTTTCCAATATTTGAGGGGCTGCCACAAAGAAGAGAGGGTTAACCTATTTTCCAAAGCATTTGAGGGCAGGATAAGAAGTAATAGGTGGAAATATATCACAAAGAGAACCAACGTGGAACTAAGAATTTCCTAACAGTTAGGACAATTGATTAGTGGGCTGACTTCCCTCCAGAAGTTGTTGGTGTCTCAACACTGGAGGTTTTTAAGAGGAGAATGGACAGCCACTTGTCTCAAATGGTCTAGGGTTTCTTGCCTGACTAGAAGACCTCCAAGGTCCCTTCCAACTCTGTTCTCTGTTCTAGGTATGTCTAGCTTAAAAAGGACTAGGAGTGACATGATAACAGTCTTTCAATACTTGAGGGACTGCCCCAAAGAAGAGGGAGTCAACCTGTTCTCCAAGGCCCCTGAAGGCAGGACAAGAAGCATTGGGTGGAAACTAATCAAAGAGAGACCCAACCTAGAATTAAGCAGGAATTTCCTGGCAGTGAGGACAATTAATCACTGAAACAAGCTTGCCTTCAAAAGTGGTGGGTGCTCCATCACTGGAGGTTTTCAAGAAGACATTGGACAGTCATGTGTCCGGAATTGTATAGGGCAGAAGTCTTCAAACTTGGCAACTTGTCCACAAGTCTTAAAGTTGCCCAGTTTGGGGGCCCCTGGTATAGGGTCTCCTGCTGGAGCAAGGGGTTGGACTAGAAGACCTCCAAGGTCCCTTCCAACTCTGTTATTCATTTCATTTCATTTATTAAATTTATAGGCTGCCCAATCCCGGAGGAGTCCGGGCAGCTTACAATGAAAGAAGAAGAAAAAAGAAAAGCAAAATAAGTAAAAAATAGTTTAAAATTCACAACACACATACGTTCTAATCAGGGCTGGACCTTAACACTAAGGTCAACAGCCCCAGGCCTGCCAGAACAGCCAGGTTTTAACGGCTTTCCTGAAGGCCATGAGAGTGGGTAAGGTCCGGATCTCTGGGGGTAGCTGATTCCACAGGGTCGGAGCAGCCACAGAGAAGGCTCTCCTCCGGGGGCCCGCCAGCCGACACTGACCGGCTGATGGTATCCGAAGGAGGCCCACCCTGTGGGATCTTATCAACCATTGGGAGGTGTATGTCAGTAGGCGCTCTCGCAGATAGGCTGGTCCTAAGCCATGTAGGGGCTTTAAAGGTAATAACCAACACCTTGAACTGCATCTGGAGACCAAT